CCCGGCCATGCGCATTTCGTAGGTCAGTTCAGTACGCATGCGCGTTTTTAAACTAAACTGTAAAAAAGTAACTCTTACATCAGCCGGTGAATACCTAATCATTATTATCATCAATGCAGCTATGACTGCTGGTTGAGTGAGCTTTGGTACACGTGATATAATAAATTACGAGATGCATAATTCAGTTAAAATATGTGTATATATGTTAATCGTGTACATGTGGCACATAATGCTTCTGTGATCGGGTTTCACGGCGAACTGAACCGCCCATTTGTTCAGAGTTGCCTCGGCAAAGACAATGACATTTATGCTGATCATGGCTTAATGGCATTTGAGAACCGGATGTTGTACCAGATGTGTCTGACGTCGTTGTACTCCTGGAGTCACCTCACGCTCGTTACGGTATGCTCCTTATGTGCTGTCACATACGTTACTGCATGGCAACACGTCAGAGCATGTCAGACGATGCATAGCTTGTCCAAGACTAGATTTCACGGCGTATGGTACCGCCGTTTTGCTACTGATTACCTGCGTGCCGTTTATGCACATATGTTTGTCACAGCTATCGGGAGCGCAGAGTACTTAACTGCTGGAGATGAGTCTTTCCAATACCTTGAGTACAAACTACTTCTTCACATGACCGTCTCCTTGCCAACAAGCAGATCTGGTTCTCTTGTACGTTTTACCAGCTTTTCAACTGACCTCCTCTTTCGAGAGCGTAACATTCGTAACATTGTCGTCCTTGCCTTGGCGAAGGTGCATGCACTGCAATGGTCTTAGCATATCATAGCGTTAACGTGAAATTCTGGGTAGTCGTCTCCGCGAATACTTCGCTGCAAATCACATCCAAAGTAAGCTGATCTTGCGGATCACTTCATCTGGCGTCCCCTCATTGTGGACACGTCGCCAACGCAACTCGGCTCTAGTGCGATCTTCACTCTAACACGTTCTGTTAAGGACGTGTGTATTTGGCAGTCCGTTCTGAGGCCAACCCTCATAAGCTATTGTTATCTGTCTCTCCAGCCTTCAGAGAAGTGCGGATCGGCTTGTGAGGCTTCGACCATGGGCACGTGTCACTGGCCAGTGAAGGGCCACCATCGTCTCAACCTACCGGGGACGGTTCCTGGCAAATTCCATACTGTCACTTCAGGAGAAGGTTAGGAAGTACGAGAACCACGTTGACGACCTCTCGTTTGTTCAGTCGGGTCTTGCCTACCTGCGATATGCCGGTTTTTGATAGACGTAGGCCTCTTATGTGGTGGCTTAAAAGAACAGTACTCAACG